CCAGTGAAGCCCTGTGGTCGGCGCAGGTAGACCTGCTCGTGTAGGCTGCCCTGAAGAAAGGCAGTAGAGAAGTCGAGGGAGTGAAGCTCGTAGTCACGCTGTGCTGCTACGTGTAGCAGCGCCCGAAGAGTGGTCATCTTCGGGGTCGGGGCGAAGGTCTGGAAGAAGTCAACCCCCTCGCGCTGACTGAAACCTCTGGCCACGTAGCGCGCCTTGAAGACAGGCGGCTCTCCAGGGGGGCGCTTCACCTTGAAGAGCCACCGACCATCGACTACGTTCACCCCAGGCGGGGGAACTGCGTCGACGTAAGTGCCGGTGGATCTCCAAGATGCCATCTCCTGCTCCATGGCAGCTATCCACTGAGAGGCCCAAGGTCCCGAGGTGGCCTCAGCGTAGGTGCGAGGGGTCGGGATGTCGAAGGCGTCTGGGTCACCCTCAGGGACTAACAGCATGGAGCAGAGATGGGGAGCAGCCTCGGAAAGGAAAGCCAGCTCGTACTGCCTGTCCTCTAGGACGTCACTGCCAAGGGCAGGAGCACCCCCGACGGACAGAGGACGGGCAGGGTCAGAGACCAGAGCGGTAGCGTAGTCAAGGCGGCGGGTAGAGGCGAAGTCAGCGACAGCAGCGACAAGCGCGTCAAGGCGCGAGACAGGAACAGCAGGGTCGGTAACAAGAGAGGCAAGGACCCGAGGGACAAGGGGACGAGCAGCACGGAGGTAGTCAGAGAACGGAGGAGGTGCAACAGCAAGGGACGAGGGAGGAGGGGACGGGAGGAGGGGAGGACGAGACGAGTGGGAACGGAGCAACATAGGGTGGGTGGGCAGGACAGGAGAGACGGGACGAGCACGGGAGGGACGGCGAGCCCAAACGTGAGACGGAGGGGTAGGGTCAGGGGACAGCGGAGGAGACACAGGAGGGGAACGAGGATGAAGACGGGCCGGAGACGAGTCTGGCGGCGGGAACACAGGACCGTAGACAGGAAGGTCAGGAGGCGGTGGGGGAGACACCGGCGCGCGGTCCGGGGAGGGAAGGCCGAGCAGGCGGAGAGCGGAAACCGGCGGCGACGGCTGCTGCGGCGGCGACGACGGCTGGGCCGGAACTCTCGGACCAGCAGAGGCAGAACGACCGTCGGCAGAACACTCAACAGCAGCACCCCCAGAACCAACACCCCCAGAGCGAGAACCCCCTCCAACACCAGCGGCACCCCCAGAAGCCGCAGGACGAACACCCTCCTCCACACCAGCACCCCCAGGGGCCGAGAGCAGCGGCGGCAGTGGCGGCAACGGCTGCGGCGGCGGCGACAGCGGCGACGGCTGCGGCAGCGACAGCGGCGGCGGCGGCGACGACAGCGGCGACGGCTGCGGCGGCGACGGCGACGGCGGCGGCAGCGGGGTCGGCGACTGCGACAGTGGGGGCGGAGGCACCGGGGAAGGGGGACGCTGCAAGGACGGACCGGGGGTACCACCAGAGTCAGCAGACTCCTCAACGGGGACAACCGACGGGAGGGGAGTGACGTGGGAGACACCAGACGGGGCAGGACGAGGCGGGAGAGGGGCAGGGGCTACCGGGGGAGAGGGAGCAAGGAAAAGGGGGGGGGCAACTGGGAGTCCTCGGTGAGGAAAGCGGCGGTAGAAGGAGACGGACTCGTCAAAGGTGACGTCACGAGAGTGGAGGAAGCGGTGAGACGGCGGGTGGTAGAAAAGCCAGTCAGACGAGTCCAGGGGGAAACCGAGGAAGACACAGGGGACAGTGCGGGCAGTGAGCTTGTCCGTGCCAGAGGCACGAACGTGAGCAAGGCAGCCCCAGACGTGGAACGCAGACGCGTCACCGGGGGACCCGGTCCAAAGGAGGGTCGGCGAAACCTGCGGCCGCTGGGAGCGTGGCCACAGGTTAAGCTGGTGAGCCGCGTAGCGAACAGCGAACGGCCACAGAAAATGGGGGGCATCGGCATGGATCATGGAGGTACGGGCGACCTCCATGACCAAGCCGATGCGGCGCTCAGCAACCCCATTCTGCTGTGGCGAGTCCGGCAACGTGTACGACTGGGTGATGCCCTCCGCACGACAGAACTGTCCAAGCCGACCAGAGGCGAACTCGCCGCCACGGTCGGAGTGGAGACACAACACGGGGAGACCGCGGTGGAGACGCGCAGCCACAACCCACGGGAGAAGAACGTCGGGCACGTCGGCCTTCCGCTCCAGGGGAAACACCGTGGTGTAGCGCGTGTAGTCGTCGACGAGCACAAGGAAGTAGCGCTCACCGCGCGGTCCGGGGACGGGGGCAGGGCCCCAAACGTCCAAGTGCAGGGTCTGAAGGGGGGCAGTAGCAGGACGCAGCGAGGAGGAGTGAGGAGCACGGCGGAGCCGACCCTCGACGCAAGGCGTGCACGGTGGCGCAGTCGAGGGAGGAAGGGCAGGGAGCGACGCGGGGAGACCTAAGACAAGACCGTGCTGGGACATGTGACGCAGACGCGGGAGAGCAGGGTGACCTAAGCGGTGGTGCCAGAGAAGGGAGGGGTGAGTGAGGGACCGACACGAGCAAGCTGCAGCGACCTGGGAGGACGCACCAACCGGGGGGGAAGCGGTGTGTAGGGTAAACAGACCGGACACCGGGTCCCGGGGGAACGTCGCAAGGGGGGAACCTGAGACAGCCTCAGAACAGTCAGCGAACCGCTCGTGCCCGGGGAACGTGGTGGTGACGCCGAGGTCCTGGAGACAGCCGACACCAACCAGGTTCCTGGAGAACGAGGGAACGTGGAGGCCAGTAAGGGAGCCCGAGGGAACTGCCGGACAAGGAAGGGACGTAGAACTGCGCGCGACGACCGGACCCGCAGAGGGGTCAGCGAGAGAGACAACAGCAGGTGCAGCAAGCGGCGTGAGCGTGGAACGGTCGCGGAAGAAGCAGGCAGAAGCACCAGAGTCGAGAGTGAAGGACAGCGACGCAGTGGCGGAGGCCGGGGACGGAGCCGGTGCAGCGACTAGACTAGGCAACCTAGGCAGTCCTACGCCTGTCGCAGCAGGGGAAGCTAAGCTACACAAGGGTGAAACACCTAAACTAGAGTACACAGGGTAGTAAGATCCAGCAACACTAGAAGCGTCAGCATACAAAGCATGCAAAGCAGCACCTATCTGATCCATGTCTAACTCAAAGATCGGCACGCCCTGGCGGAGTAGGCTGTGCCAGTCAGGGAGGTCCGGGGCCGGGCCAAAGCGACGACGAAAAAGATCGTCGAGGCGGCGGAAACAGCGGGCGGTCGGGTGCGGGCGGCGGCACAGAGTGCCGCGGAGAGGCCCGGTCTGAAGCTGGTACTGGCAGGTCACAGCACTGGAGCCGCTGGTAGACGCCAAGCTGCGCGGGCCGCCACCACGGCCACCGCCTCCGGAGGTGCCGGGCCAACCAGGCGGGAGACGAGCCCACGGCTGCGGCGGGTGCTGCTGGGACGGCGGCTGCGGCTGGGGCTGGTCCTGCTGCTGCTGGGGCTGCTGCTCCTGCCCACCGGTGGTAGTCCCCTCAGGCGGACTACCGTCACCACCACCACGACCACTACCACCTGCGTCACCACCCCTACCTCCCTGGCGGCCACGGCCACCGCGACGCGAGCGCTGCTGCGGGTGGACAGCAGCAGCCGTCTCGGTAAGAGGGGTCGCCGTGGCGACCGCAGCCGAAACGTCAGTGAACGTGCACTGGGATGGGGCACAGCCGTGAAAGATAGAGACTGCCGGCGCACCGCTCGACTGAGCGATAGTGCGCTGGCGAGTCTCGATCTCAGTGAGGGTGTCGACAAAGGCGATCAGGGTGAGGTCACCCGGGTGCTGGCTAAGAAAGTGGTCGCGAGCACTAGCGAGGCGGTCTGGCAGGCGCATAGCGATAAAATAGAGCGTCATGCAGAAAGGAGGGGGGAGCGCAGTGAGCTGGGCAGCAGTGCTGGCAGTGCGATAGCGAGTCTCTAGGGCACGCAAATGAGTGGCAAAGTCTGCGACAGTAGGGAAGGCAGCCAGGTCTGGGAACAGCATCGGAAAGAGCAAGCGGCCAGCAGAAGCGGAGGCAGGGGTGGAATAGCGAGCAATAACGGCGTCTAAATAAGCTTTGGCCGTTTCAACAGTAGCAAAACGCGAGCGCTCAGACACAGGGAGGGCGTGACTAATAGCAACCTGAGCTACTGCATCGCGTGAGTCCCAGACCGCACAGGCCAGCGCAGCAGTAGAGAAAGCCTCACGGTCATCAGAGGAGGGGTCAGCAGGGAGGGGAGTAGGTGCAGGGGGACGGGGGAGCAAGCCATCAGCATGGACAACCAGAGAGTGGCCATCCTGGCGCTGACCTGTAAGCTGGCGGCGGAGATCGGAGAGCCAGGCGGCGAAGTCAACCGCGTGGCCCTCAGCGTCCAGGCGGAGCACAAAGTCAGCCATCGTTCAGGGTCAGCGGCACAGCTCCTCAGCGACACAGCGGCACAGCAGCACAGCTCCTCAGCGGCACAGGAGCACAGCGGCGCGGGGACACGGCGGCAGCACTCTCCAGTAGGGCAGCAGCTAGGCGTCCCAGCGCAGGCGAGCAGAAGACACAGGGCCCGAGAGGACACGGCAGGCCGAGCAGGGGAGGCGGGCAGGTGCTCTGGGGCCGGGCTGGTGCTGGGAGGGGCCAGGCTGGTGCTGCTGGGGCCGGTCGGGCACGAGGAGGGGCCGGGCAGCGCTGAGGAGAGGCCGGGCGGCGCTAGGAAGGGGCCGGGCGGCACTAGGAGGAGGCCGAGCGGCACTAGGAGGCCAGGCAGGCGAGCGCTAACAGCAGGCGCGACAGGGGCCAGCGGGCGCGACGAGGCCTAAGGGGCGCGACGGGGCCCAGCGGGCACGACGGGGCCCAGGGGGGGCGCGACGGGGCCGAGGAGGCGCGACGGGGCCCAGCGGGCACGACGGGGCCCAGCGGGCTCTGATACCATGTTAACGTAGAAACGAATGATTACTAGAGGTGGAAACCTAGAACAAATACTAGTTGGTTGTACTCACTAGAAGCATACCTCAGTCTAGCCTATAACTTCTACATAGATAATATGTATAAGTTGACACTACCGTACTTGATGACAACTTGAAATGATGAAAACACATCTCTATTTCGGACAGTGTTTCCCGAAAGAAACAGTCCTCAAACCATGTACATTACAACTCTTTTACTTTTGTCAGCAGCTGCCCATCAGATGGGCCGATCTTTTCATGCCCCCCACTCCCCTGCCTCTCCTTCCCCTCTCCACCCTGTCCGTCCCCCTTTTTCCTCCATCTCATAGGCCTCAACTGTCCACCCCCCCGCTGCTCCTCCCCTCCTGTTCCCCCCCTCCTGTTCCCCCCTCCTGTTCCCCCCTCCTGTTCCCCCCTCCTGCTCCCCCCCCTCCTGTTTCCCCTCTCCTGTTCCCCCCCTCCTGTCCCCCCTCCTGTTCCCCCCCTCCTGTCTCCCCCCTCCATAGCCCCCCTTCCTGTTCCCGCCCTCCATACCCCCAAGGATCAGGCTGTCCTGCTGCCACCCTCTACCTCCCTCATTTATTCGGCGCCCTCCCCCTTTTCTTCCCCTTCTCCTCCTTCCCCTCCTCTGCACCCCCCTTAAACCCCACTTCCAGCTTCACTTGCACTGCCTCCACTCTCCTCCTCATCACAAAACCGCTCCGCAACCTCCTTCCCCACCTGCGAGGGAGAGGGCGCACTGGGGGGCCTGGGCAAGTGGGAGGGTCAGGATTTCCTCTCCCACCCTCAACCTCCATTAAGTATTCGGCGCCCTCCCCCCTTTCTTCCCCTTCTTCCCCTTCTTCCCCTTCTCCTCCTTCCCCTTCTCTGCACCCCCCTTAAAGCCCACTTCCAGCTTCACTCGCACTGCCTCCACTCTCCTCCTCTCGCAAAACCGCTCCACATCCTCCTCCGCCACCTCCCCCCGCTCCCCCACCTGCAACCCTATTCTCCTCAGCTTCCCCCCCTCCCCTCTCCCAATCGACTGCCAGGGCGCGTCCCACCAGGCATATGGCAGCGCGGGGGAGAGGGCGCACTGGGGGGGCTGGGAGGGGCAGGAGAGGCGGCCGGAGAAGGTGTGCCAGGCGTGGCCCCTGCCACCCTGGTGGGTGAGCCCGTCTTGAAGCAGGTGGGCGTGGAAAGCGCTGAGTAAGAGGAAGCGAGAAGAGGGGGGATCCGGGGTGTCCTCTGCAGCAGGGGAACGAGAGTGGAAAGGGCATGGAGAAAGCAGGAGTATGTAGGTTGAAGAGGGAAGTAGGCATGGCCGATGCCCCCCTGGTGGGTGAGCCCGTCTTGAAGCAGGTGGGCTTGGAAAGCGCTGAGTAAGAGGAAGCGAGAAGAGGGGGGGGACGTGGTGTCCTCTGCAGGGGGAAGAAGAGGGGAAGGGGTGCGGAGAAAACAGGAGTTAATGCGGGTTAGAAGTGAGGGAGAAGGCATGGCCCCTGTCCCCTTGGCAATGGACCTTGCTGCAGGAGAGAGGGGTGGAAGAAGCTAAGGAGGAGGAAGTGAGGATAGGGGTTAGAAGGGAGGATAGGGGTTTCGAGGGAGGATAGGGGTTTGGAGGGAGGAGAGGGGTTTGGAGGGAGGAGAGGGGTTTGAAGGGAGACGAGGGGTTTGGAGAGTTGTCAGTTGCAAGGAGCGGGGGACTGAGCGACGAGCACAAGAGAGAACGAGTGCACATACGAGTGCACATACGAGTGCACATACGAGAGAGATGACAAGGGAGGGGACAGAAACAAACCATTAGTCACAACAGTAGCGTATGAGGCTTCCTGGCTTACATAGGGCAGCAAGGTAACGCGGGCAGCCAGCTCCAAAAAGGTGGTGAACGTCCGACCAGGCATGTATCCAGGCTGCAACGCACGTTCGCACTCGTGTGATAAAAGAATAGTTTTGAGGCGCCTCAAAACTAGACTTGTATAAAAGGTGCTGAACATTCGACCAATCACATATCCAGGCTACAAAGCACGTTCGCACTTGCTCTCACGTCACTTGCCCAAGTTACCGGCCCAAAATGGCCGTTTTGATTCGACTCAAACAGAGCGCTGGCTTACCCAAGCTTCTAACTGCAGCCAGTGAAGCAGCGAGCTGCGAAAACGTAGTGTTAAAGGCGTATTTGGCCCGAACATGTGGGAGGCCAGGAAGAAGGCAATCCCTCTCTCACCTAGACTCCTAGCCGCAGCCAGTGATGCAGCGAGCTGCGAAAATGTGGTGAAGACTCTTGATCACCCGGCAGAGATTAAGGCGTGCTTCGGCTCAGGCAGGAGGCCAGGAAAAAGTCAACCCCCACCAGCTGCCCCATACCACAGCCAGTGATGTCTCACTCACCTAGACTCCTAGCTGCAGCCAGTGATGCAGCGAGCTGTGAGAAGGTGGTGAAGACTCTTGATCGCCCCGCAGAGATTAAGGCGTACTTGGCCCGGGCGGCGAGGAAGAAGTCAACCAGTGCCACCCAGCGGGGTAGTGGACCCCAGTCACGCACTCGGAAGGACGGGAGCTGAGAGCCAGAGGAAGGGCACGGAGAGAAAGAGAGGGTAAGGTGGCGAAGACATGAGACCGCCCGGCAGATAAGAACGCGCAACTGGGGTGAGAGGCCACTCAGAAGTCGACTCGACTGCCGCAAAACTTGAGTCTAAGAGTCCCGCTCACCGATTTGTTCTTTGCAGAGGCGAGGGGGCTCTCTGGGTGCCGGCGCACGAATGTAGCGTGGTCAAAACGAATGATCTGATGATAGGAGGGGGGAGATGATTGGAGAGAACAAGGGAGAGGTGCGGCAAGAATGAGGCATGGAGGCTCGCTGGGTGCCGGCGCACAAATGTAGCGCGGTCAAGCCGAATGGTCAAGCCGAATGGTCAAGCCGAATGGTCTGATGTGGGAGGGATGGGGGGAACGAGGAGGAGAGGGGATGAAAGGGGGGGGGGGGCACAGTAGGGGGACAGGGGGATGGGGTGGGCAAGGGACGAGTGAGGCAAAGGGGGCTACTCCGGGACATACGTGGAGGCATGAAGGCAAAGCATCAAAATGAACTGGGTGTGTGTTTGAGTCGAATAACCGGAGGGGAGCAGGAGGCGAGGAGGAGGAGGAGAGAAGAGCGAATTGGAGTGAAAGAGAACGGGACGATCCAATTTGTCAAAGTCAGCAGTCAGGGCTCCTATCCTGCGAACGGCACTGGGAGTGATGGAGCGATCCGCCACACACTCATTGCTAGACCACTCCCTCCCTTCCCTTCGTGCTCCATCCCTTATCACTCGCCCTTCCCTTTCTCGCCTTGGCAAAGTCGGAGGTCAGAGCTCCTACCCTGCGGAACACACTTGGATGATCTGCGCCACCACCACCCACAGCCTGCCTTGGCCTTTCCGTTACCACTCCTTCCTCCGCCATTGCCTCTCTTCCTCCTTCACCCACCTTGGATCTCCAAACTTGCGGAAAGGATGTGCGGCCACCACGCTCACTGCTTTATCACTCCCTCTCTTCCAGATCACTCCCTCTCTTCCATATCACTCCCTCTCTTCCATATCACTCCCTCTCTTCCATATCACTCCCTCTCTTCCATATCACTCCCTCTCTTCCTTATCACTCCCTCTCTTCCTTATCACTACCTCTCTTCCATATCACTCCCTCGCTTCCATATCACTCCCTCTCTTCCTTATCACTCCCTCTCTTCCATATCACTCCCTCTCTTCCATATCACTCCCTCTCTTCCATATCACTCCCTCTCTTCCTTATCACTCCCTCTCTTCCATATCACTCCCTCTCTTCCATATCACTCCCTCTCTTCCTTATCACTCCCTCTCTTCCATATCACTCCCTCTCTTCCATATCACTCCCTCTCTTCCATATCACTCCCTCTCTTCCTTATCACTCCCTCTCTTCCTTATCACTCCCTCTCTTCCATATCACTCCCTCTCTTCCATATCACTCCCTCTCTTCCTTATCACTCCCTCTCTTCCATATCACTCCCTCTCTTCCATATCACTCCCTCTCTTCCTTATCACTCCCTCTCTTCTTTATCACTCCCTCTCTTCCATATCACTCCCTCTCTTCCTTATCACTCCCTCTCTTCCTTATCACTCCCTCTCTTCCTTATCACTCCCTCTCTTCCATATCACTCCCTCTCTTCCATATCACTCCCTCTCTTCCATATCACTCCCGCTCTTCCATATCACTCCCTCTCTTCCATATCACTCCCTCTCTTCCTTATCACTCCCTCTCTTCCATATCACTCCCTCTCTTCCATATCACTCCCTCTCTTCCATATCACTCCCTCTCTTCCATATCACTCCCTCTCTTCCATATCACTCCCTCTCTTCCTTATCACTCCCTCTCTTCCATATCACTCCCTCTCTTCCATATCACTCCCTCTCTTCCTTATCACTCCCTCTCTTCCATATCACTCCCTCTCTTCCATATCACTCCCTCTCTTCCATATCACTCCCTCTCTTCCTTATCACTCCCTCTCTTCCTTATCACTCCCTCTCTTCCATATCACTCCCTCTCTTCCATATCACTCCCTCTCTTCCTTATCACTCCCTCTCTTCCATATCACTCCCTCTCTTCCATATCACTCCCTCTCTTCCATATCACTCCCTCTCTTCCATATCACTCCCTCTCTTCCATATCACTCCCTCTCTTCCATATCACTCCCTCTCTTCCTTATCACTCCCTCTCTTCCATATCACTCCCTCTCTTCCATATCACTCCCTCTCTTCCATATCACTCCCTCTCTTCCTTATCACTCCCTCTCTTCCTTATCACTCCCTCTCTTCCATATCACTCCCTCTCTTCCATATCACTCCCTCTCTTCCTTATCACTCCCTCTCTTCCATATCACTCCCTCTCTTCCATATCACTCCCTCTCTTCCTTATCACTCCCTCTCTTCTTTATCACTCCCTCTCTTCCATATCACTCCCTCTCTTCCATATCACTCCCTCTCTTCCTTATCACTCCCTCTCTTCCTTATCACTCCCTCTCTTCCTTATCACTCCCTCTCTTCCATATCACTCCCTCTCTTCCATATCACTCCCGCTCTTCCATATCACTCCCTCTCTTCCATATCACTCCCTCTCTTCCTTATCACTCCCTCTCTTCCATATCACTCCCTCTCTTCCATATCACTCCCTCTCTTCCATATCACTCCCTCTCTTCCATATCACTCCCTCTCTTCCATATCACTCCCTCTCTTCCATATCACTCGCCCTTCCCTTTCTCACCTTGGCGAAGCCGGAGGTGAGCGCTCCTATCTTGCGGAACACACTTGGATGATCCGCCACCACCACCACCCGCAGCTTGTCCCTATCACTCACAGCTCTATCACTCCCTCAATTCTTGCAAACCCACCTTGTCAGTCGAAACTCCCAAGAGCCCACCTTGGCAAAGTCGGACGTGAGGGCTCCTATCTTGTGGAACACACAAGGATGGTCAGCCACCACCACCACCACCACCACCACCACCACCACCACCACCACCACCACCACCGCCACCGCCACCGCCACCACCACCACCACCACCACCACCACCACCACCACCGCCACCGCCACCGCCACCGCCACCACCACCACCACCACCACCACCGCCACCACCACCGCCACCACCACCGCCACCACCACCGCCACCACCACCACCACCACCGCCACCACCACCAGCACCATGCCAAAACCCTCCCTTGGTCTTTCTCTTACCACTTACCCCTGCCTCCCCACTTCCCTCACCTTGGCAAAGTCGGAGGTGAGCGCTCCTATCTTGCGGAACACACTGGGATGATCGGCCACCACCACCACCCGCAGCTTGTCCTTGTCACTCATTCTTGTACCGTTCCCTCCTTTCGTCTTCCCCTCCCCCCTCTCCTCCCTTTTGCCACCTCCTGCTGCCTTCGCTTGCTTCGTCTTCCGCCCCTTGCTCCCCTTGCCCTTCTTTCTCCCTTTCTTTGACTTCTTCTTGCTCTTCTTCACCGATTTTTTCCCCTTGCCCTTCCGCTGTTTCCCTTTATTTTTCGTCACCAGCGTCACCAGCCGATCACGCTTCACACTCTCTCGATTCTCCCTCTCGTGTACAGTGGACGCTTCTTCCTCTAACCTTTCCTCCCTCCTGCCAAAAACATCCCCCCCTTCTGCTTCAACACCATTCCTCGTAGCCCCTAGGCGCTCTTGAGTCGACTCAAGAGCCTCCTCCTCCCCATCCTCCTCCCCTGTAATAGTCCTTATTGAATCCACCCCCCTCATGCCTCCACTACCGCCATCATTATCACTAAGACCTCCTGCCTCTAGCAATCTCCTGCCCCTGCCCCACCGTATGCTCCCCTGCCCCCAGGCTAACAAGCCGCCTCTCACACTGCCCGCTGCAACGCCTGCTTGTCTACTCTCTCCTGCTCCGGCTGCTGCTTCAGCTGCTGCTGCTGCTGCTGCCTCATCTGATGCTGCTCGTGCTACAGCCACTGCTGTTGCTGTTGTCACTGCCACCTTTGCGCCCGCATCTAGGCTTGCAGGTGGATCAGTGCCTGGTGTTGCTGCTGCCGTTGCTGGTAGCGGTGTGCGCGTTTGCATTCTTTCAAGCATGCCGGCTTGTTCCTTGTGCTCCTGGACCTGCTTCTTCACCCTATTAATGTGCTCCAGCGCCTGTCTTAGGCACAGAGCAGCCGCAGAAGCAACACTCTCGAGCCTGCAGCAAGGGGGGAGGGGGAAGAGATGGGAGGGGGAAGAGGTGGGAGGGGGAAGAGAGGGGAGGGGGAAGAGAGGGGAGGGGGAAGAGAGGGGAGGGGGAAGAGAAGGGAGGGGGAAGAGAGGGGAAGGGGAAGAGAGGGGAGGGGGAAGAGAGGGGAGGGGGAAGAGATGGGAGGAGGAAGAGATGGGAGGAGGAAGAGAGGGGAGGGGTAAGAGATGGGAGGTGGAAGAGATGGAGGGGGGAGAGAGGGGAGGGGGGAGAGAGGGGAGGGGGAAGAGAGGGGAGGGGGAAGAGAGGGGAGAGGGAAGAGAGGGGAGGGGGAAGAGAGGGGAGAACAAAGGGTAAGCCTCCCTTGAGGCACAGAGCAGCTGCAGAAGCAACACCCTCGAAACTGCAGCAAGGGGGGGAGGGGATGTAGTGTAGAGCAGAGTAGCAGACAAAGGAAGACGGGGGGGTGGAGAAGCAGGGGAATGAGCAGACGGTGCTCCAGGGAACGGGCTGTGGTATTAGTAATTGAGGTTTGAAACGTCTCAGAACTCGATTACTATCACGCAGAGCGTGCTCCAGGGAGCGGGCTGTGGTTGAAAGGAATCAGAGACAACATAGAGCCGTGGCAGTGGCAGCAGGCAGCAGGCAGCAGGCAGCAGACACTCACCAGCAGGCAGCAGGCAGCAGGCATTTACCAGCAGGCAGCAGGCAGCGGGCACTTACCAGCAGGCAGCAGGCAGCGGGCATTTACCAGCAGGAAATCACGAGCAATCTGTAGACTGTATACAGCACCACGCACCCGCCACGCAGGCTGAGTGGGAATGACCACGTCTGCATCTCGTTCTTTCCACTCCCCAGAGCAATCGTCCTCACTGCTGGCGTGGGCAGCAGCAGCACTCGGGCAATCTCCCCAAAGAGGTTGGGGCGGGAGTGCGGGTCCCAGGGCACGCCCATGTCAGCTTGTGCCCACATGTCGTACCCACCTTTCATGGCCCCAGACTCAAACGCACCCACCTTTCATGGCCCCAGACTCAAACGCCATGCCTCAAGAGAATGACCACATCTGCATCCCTCCCTCCGCTCCCCAGCGCCCACTGCACAGCATCCCTCACTGCTGGCGTGGGCAGCAGCAGCAGGAAAGCATGTGCGCACACCACACCCGCGTCTCAAGCCATCAGACTCACCCCCCATGCCGAAAGTGTATGACCACGTCGGCATCTCTCCCCCCCGACCCCAGCGCCCACTGCACAGCATCCCTCACTGCTGGCGTGGGCAGCAGCAGCACTCGGGCAATCTCCCCAAAGAGGTTAGGGCGGGAATGGGGATCCCAGGGCACGCCCATGATGGCCTGCGCCCTCTCCCGCATGGACGGGTGGACGTTCTTCAGAAACGTCTGGATGGGCACTGAGTCCAGCGCGTCGTCAAGACTGGGGGGTGGGAGGTGGGAGAAGTGGAGAAAGTGGTGAAAGTGGGGGAGAAGTATGGAAGTATGAAGCTTGTGCTCTTGCTCGCATTGAGTCTTTTGAGTCGACTCAAAAGACGCCCATGATAGCTTGTGCTCTTGCTCTCATTGAGGGGTGGAGGTGCTTGAGGGACGTCTGGATGGGCACTCAGTCTAGAGCACTGTCAAGACTGCGGGAAGGGGCAGGGTAAGTGGGGAAAGGGGGGGATGGAGTCAGAGGCAAGGAGTGAAATGGGCTATCCCCAGCCCTTTAGTGGCACAAACAAAGGGGTGAGCCTTTCTTCAGAGAGTCTTTCATCTTTGTAGGCATGAGAGAGTCCAGAAGGTACAGTGCTCAGTCGTTTCTTGGGAATTCTGACTAACTGGCCTTGTTTGTGAGGCTTTCATGAGAGATCCAGGCAGGTACAGAGCGCAGCACGCTGCCGCACACATGCGCAAGGGCATCCCCCCTCTCCCGCCGCCTTTCCCCCTTCTCCACACACCCCCCAGCACGCACACGCACACTCTCACCATATGATGGGCTCTTTCCACGTGGACCAATTGTCACACAGCGTGCGCGACCTCGCCCGATTGCGAACGAGTCGGTCCTCAGCACCAGTGACCACCCGTACCAGCGACTCCAGTATGTTTTTCCCAGTACAAGAGCAAACACACAGACACACACTCACCAGACAATGGGCTCCGTCCACACCAGCCAATCATCACATAGCGTGCGTGATCTCGCCCGGTTGGCAAACGAGTCAGTCCGCAGCACCAGCGGGCGCCCGTGCTCCTCCTCACAGCGATGCTGCTGCCACAGCAGCCGCAGGTCCAGCATGGAGAACACCTCGGGAGAGAACGCCAGGTACTCTTTCCACAGGCGCTGCCCCACAGTCTTGTTGTTCTCTAGCACTGGGCGCGTGCCACTGACAGGACGAGGCGAGAGGAAAGGGGAAAAGAGAGTGGGAGAGAGGCCATCGTCTGTCCTGAGCACCAGCAATCGCCCGCACCACTCCTCACACGTGTGCTGCTGCCACAGCAGGTGCAGGTCCAGCATGGAGAACACCTCTGGGGTAAAGGCGACGTATTCTTTCCACAGGCGCTGGCCCACTGTCTTGTTGCTCTTCAGCACTGGGCGTGTGCCGCTGGTACGGCAGGAGGAAGGGGGGGGGAGGCAATGGGGAGATAGGAACGGGTGAGGGGACAGGGCAAAAAAGAGTGGAAAGAGAGACACAAGTATGTCCACGGCACCAATGGGCATCCGTTCCGCTGCTGCTGCCACAGGAGCCTCAGCTGGGGCATGGAGAACACCTCAGCCCGGGGGTAAAGGCTAGAACCTCTTTCCATAGCCGATGGCCCACGGTCTGGTTGGTTTCCAACACAGGGCGTGTGCCGCTGATTGGACAAAGGGGAAGTGCAGGGGGAAGGTGAGAGGGAAAGACAGTTGAGAGCGGTGAGGGAAAGATGGGGCCGAACGGAGGTTCAGGTCCTCCTCAGAACCAGCGGGCGCCCGTACCGCTGCTCCAACCCGTGCTGCTGCCACAGGAGCCTCAGCTCGAGCATGTATTACACCTTGGGGGTAAAGGCTAAATACTCTTTCCATAACCGATGGCCCGTGGTTTGCTGTCCAACACAGGGGGACGAGAGAGGGAAGGGGGGGCAGTGGAGCCACAGGTGGCGTGTAACAGTGAATCGAGGTGCCAGTCGACTCCAGAGTCACTTCGTGCGCAGCTGATACTGAAAGCGGGGGGGCGAGAGAAGGAATGCCAGAAGTGGCACAGCAGAGGCCTCAGCCCGAGCATCGACAGCTCCTCGGGGGAGAGAGCTAAATACTCCTTCCATAACCGCTGGCCCACAGTCTTGTTACTCTCTAGCACAGGGCGCGTGCCACTGATAGGGCAGGGGGGCGAAAGGAGGAAGTGGGGGGGCAGGAAGGGGGCACAGGAGACTCGGCTCGAGCATCGACAACACCTCGGGGGAGAAAGCTAAATACTCCTTCCATAACCGTTGGCCCACCACAGTCTTATTGGTCTCCAGCACAGGGCGTTGCCCGCTGATAGAGTGGGTGGGTGGGAGATGAGGATGTGGGGAGAAAGTGCGCCACAGGTGCCTCACCACACCCACCACACCCACCACACCCAACCAAACCGCTCCAGACCGCACCACACAGCAGCACCACATCAGTCGCTAATTCTCGCCCACAAAAAAGGAGCGGTTGAGCAAGAGGGCCATAGCAGGAGCCATAACTACCTTGAACAGGTTGTTGCCCAGCCCCTCTTGCTTGCCACACCACACAGCACACACCAGTACCACACCACACACCTCACCCCACCAAACAGCAGCGCCATATCACTCATTAGTTCTCACCCACGATAATGGAGCGGTTGAGCATCAATGCAAGGGCGGGCAGAGAAAGGAACTTGTACAGGATTTTGCCCTGCCCCTCGTGCTTGCCACACCACACAGCACCACAGCACACACCAGGGCCACACCACACCAGCACCGCACCACACAACACACACTGATACCGCACAGGTTGGCAACTCACTAGTTCTCGCCCACGATAATGGAGAGCATGAGTGCAAGAGCCGGGCCCGTGAGGATCTTGAACAGGTTGTTGCCCAGCCCCTCGTGCTTGCCACACCACACAGCACACACCAGTACCACACCACACACCTCACCCACCAAACAGCAGCACCATATCACTCACTAGTTCTCGCCCACGATAATGGAGCGGTTGAGCATGAGTGCAAGAGCCGGGCCTGTGAGGATCTTATACAGATTGTTGCCCAGTCCCTCGTGCTTGCCGTATCCCAGCACGAAACCCCTCTGGCAGAACTCGTGCGAGGGCAGCGCTCGCACAGCAGAGGCACCTGGAGGCCGGAGCAGAAGGGGGGGAGGAGAGGAGGGGAGTGGGTGGCGGTGTGAGGTTCTTATACAGGCTGTTGATGGCCAGCCAGCCAGCCCCTCGTTTCTACCATAGCCTAGCACTAATCACAATCTTCACTGGACTCAGGGGGGGTACCTGGAGAAGATAGCACGCACAGCGGAGACACCTGGAGGAAGGGACGAGGTGCGAGTGGGGAGGCACGAATTTCTAAGGCGGCTAAAAAATCGAGGTAGGGTAGGAGGAACGAGGCGCGAGTGAAGAGGGAGCGTTTCAGGGGCGCCCGCCAGGGCGCTGGGTGGTTGAGTGGTTCTTCCGCACCCCTGAAACGCCCCAGCGCCCGCCAGGGCAACTCGAGTGTGCAAGCAGGGCTCCCTTAGTCTGCAACGAAAAGGGCTTGCAACACCATATAGCAGCCTTGAAGGGCCCTGCTTGCACACTTGTGTCGCAAGCCCTTTTCGTTGCAGACTAAGGGAGACCTGCTTGCACACTCGCGTTGCGTACCAACGGGCTGCTCTCAGGGAGAAGGCCTCCACCCTCACCAACCCTATCACCCACCGTGCACTGCCAGGTGTTGCTCGATCATTCGCCGCAGCCTCAGGCTCGCCTGGTCGGTGCTGCCAGCTGTCATCTCGCCCATCTCCGCCACGTCAGCGCACGCCTTGCTGGGCGCCCACCGGGGCTCGGGAGGGTCGAATGGTACCTCTGTTGCGTTGGGCCCAAGTGCCTTGGGACGTGCTTTGGATCTGGATGAGGAGTGGTGCCTCTTCTGCTTTTTGCTTCTTGACTTCGTCTTTGACTTGGCCTTTGCTCTCCCCTGTAGCTTTCCCAGACCTAACTTCTGATTGGCTGCCTCGCCTCGGATCGACAGCTTGACCGAATCAGCTGAACCCCTATCCTCCCTTTCCTCTTCCCTTGCCTCCCTTTGTTCCTCCCTTTCCGCCTCCCTTTCCTCCTCCCTGTCCTCCCCTCCCGTCTCCTCCCCTCCTCCAGCCACTCCTTTCAAGTCAACAAGACTGCTCAGATCACCCATGCTGCGACTGCCGCCAGCTTTCGCCCCAAACCCCGCCTCCTCCAAGTCTTCCTCCAGGCCATCCTCCAGCTCCTCATCGGTTTCCCCCTCTTCGATTGCCTCCTTATCGATTCCCTCCTTATTGATTCCTTCCTTATTGATTCCCTCCTTATTGATTCCTTCCTTATTGATTCCCTCCTTATTGATTCCCTCCTTATTGATTCCTTCCTTATTGATTCCCTCCTTATTGATTCCCTCCTTATTGATTCCCTCCTTATTGATTCCTTCCTTATTGATTCCCTCCTTATTGATTCCCTCCTTATTGATTCCCTCCTTATTGATTCCCTCCTCGTCGGTTTCCTCCTCGGATCCTGTCCCAGCCACAACACCACTGCTTCTCGCCCCAAATCCAGCCTCCCCCAGGCCCTCCTCCATGCCATCCCCGGTGTACCCCTCGCTCTCCTCCTCTCCCCCGCCATCACCGCCATCACCGCCATCACCGCCATCACCGCCATCACCGCCATCACCGCCATCACCGCCATCACTGTCATCACCGCCATCACTGTCATCATCTATCAACGTATCCTCTTTTCCCTTTTCCCAATCCTCGTCCTCCGCTTCACCACCACCCTCCTCCTCCTCCTCTTCGTCTCCCTCTTCCTCCACATCCCACTCTTCCACCTCCCGTTCCTCCCTCGCCTCCTTCCTCTCCTCCCCCTCAACCATCTTCCCTCCTCCCCAGTCTACCTCCTCTACCTCCTCCCCTTCCTTCTCATCATCACCCACTCCCTCATACTCTCTCTCGCCCGGCCCATCCTCTCCCTCCTCCCCCACATCCCCTCCTTCCTGCGCCGCACCCCCCTCTCCCTCTCTCTTACTATCACTCTCCTCCCCACCCCTCTTCTCTCGTTCCTCCCTCTCTTCATCATCCTCACTCTCCCCGAGCTTCTCATCGCTTCCCTTCACAACAGTAATCTCTGACCCTTCCACCCCTTCTCTTCCTTCTCCGTCTCCTCGATCCTCCTCCCCATCTTCCCCTAGTCTCTCCTTTCTTTCTTCTTCTCCCTCCTCCCCTCCTCCCTCCTCTTTCCCTTCCTCCCCTGCGTTCGCCTCCTGATCACCCCTCTCATCCCTTTCCTCCCCTTCCCCCCCTCCCCCCCCTCCCCCTCCTCCCCCCCTCCCTCATCCTCCTCCCCCTCCTGCACTCCCTCCTCGTTCTCCCCATCCTGCCTGCCTCCAACCGTACCCCTTCCCTCCGCAACTCCCCCTTCCTCCCCACCTTCCCCTTCCCCCCCATCTCCCCCTTCCCCCCAAATTCCCCTTCCCCCTCAACTCCCCCGTCCCCCTGGGTACTCCCCCCTTTGCCAGGCCCGGGCGGCCGCGCGCGAGTCCTCCCATGCGGCATCTCCCCCCCCTGCCATTCACCCTCCAGCATAACGCCAACCATTGCGAGCTGCTCCTCCCGCCCATCCTCATCCCAACTCCCGCCCTCCCTGCTTTCCCCGCCCTCATTCTCTCCCCCATGCTCGCGCGCTTGCTCTCTCTCGCGCGCTTGCTCTCTCCCCCGGCCGCCAGTCGCAGCGACGCTCCGCTCGCCCTCCTGTCCCCCCTCGCCGTCTTGATTCCCCTCGCGCTCCGATCCGTCTCGCACCTCTAGACTCCGTTCAGGTGACAATTTCTCGATTTGATCCCCTCCATATTCTCCCTCCGCCTGCCTTCTTTCGGTGCTCAATCCCCCCGTTTGTCTGTCTCCCCCACTCTCCTGGACACCCGCTGGTGGCCATCTCGTTTTAATCTCGGCCGTTGGATTTGCAAGGCGATCTCCGCCGAGGTTGCTGATGTAACCCTCGTTTTGCGGGCTGTTGAGCCCGGATTCCGTTAGAGTCACACTGCCCTGCTCGTCCCGTCCCCCCTGAATTTCGTCGCCTACAGTCACATCTGACAGCTTCGCAATGTGGTTACCCGGTTCTTGGAGTTTCGTGTGCCCGAGCAGATGGAAAACGAACGCTGCGAAGAAAATCGCAGACCATGTGACTATAGTGAGTTTGTTACTACAAAGATTCGAGAAGCACCCTCGGTGCTGCTGTCTTGTCTTACTGTGTGAATTCGGGTGAACGTACGGAAGCGTGTGCGACGGAGCGTGCGAACGTGTGTGCGACGGACTCTGCGACAGACTGTGCGAGTGAGCGTTCGGGGGTGAGCGTAGGTGAGTGCAAGGGAGTAACTGTGACTGTGGCTGAGTGTGACGCTCTTGACGGATCTTCGGGTCCTTCACCGCAGCCAGACCCATGTGACTGTATCGAGCGGCGCACTAGACGCGAGGACGAGAACGTACCCGAAATAATAGATACCATAGACGCAATAGGGCGTTATGAACTTATAGACGGATCCATGCTCGCCTCATAAGACGGAAGCCGTCTAGTTGGCTAGAAACTTTTGGGTGAGTCGGCTCGGACCAATGGCCAGCCATCGTCAACTTCTAGGCGATCCCATGAAACAATCCATCCAAACGTTATCATTTCCCGAGCGCTGCATCTCTCGGGAAGAAAATGCATGAACGCCATAGGAGCACAAACAGCAAGCAAGCCTCGCCACTGGCTTGTCCGGGCCGGGCTGGACAAAGGGGATGGATGGCCAGCGGCCAGTTCCCAAGGCTCGGCGGCAATGGGAAGTTCCCAGGGCTGAAAATGGCTCTGCTGGTGCGGGCATGTCCTGCCAAATACAGGTTTCTGATTCGGTGGAACTTTGCCGCGGCAGTTCGGCTCGGGACGAGCCACAAGTCGTCCGTGACTGATGCGTCTGGTGGTTTGCATCCGACGAAGTTACTCTGCCTTGGGGTTGCCGAGCCGAGCTCAACAAAGCCTTTTTCGTCAGCATGCACCACGGTGTCGTGAAATTCGGGCTGAGTCGGGGATGGGTAGATTCCATGAAACGTGACGTGCTGTCAGGCCTCACGACCATCGCATGGGTGCTTGGCGAAAAGTGCAGGAGGTGATCCTGATGGGACGCGATTCGCACCTCGGAAATACATTACACGAGAGGCAAGTTACAGATCAGTATTGTTATGAATGAACAAGCAGAGTAGCGCGGAAATTAATAACGAAATGTTCAATCACTGAATGACGATAAAAGGAATGGCAAGCCAAGATATAGGAACACCAAAGCTAGTCTAACCATGTGATGGGGACGTTTGGGAAAGATATCAAAGGGCCGTGAAGTGACAAAGCGAGGCCCGGAGAACTCTCGAAGGTCGAACTAGAAGGTATGGAGAAGGTGATGCGCTTCTGTCAGAAAGGTCTGGAACAGTCCCGAGGCTTCGTGTGTGTTCGAGCGTACGCGATAGCAGTACTGCTCGGTAAGGAATGGAAAATTCCTTACACCACCCCCCTCCCTTAGCGAAGGTGATCTATATCAGCCACGTGCTTGCGGTCCAAATAATTCGCAAGTATTGAATGTGACTGTATCTGGTCCGAGGGCACCCACGTGTCGTCCTCACTAATACGATTGGTCCATCGTATCACAAAGTCAACGTGTCGTCCTTGACCGTCGACACGAATCCGATGGCTCAAAATCTTCGAAGGCTCGATGGTCGTCTCGGCTGGTGGCCGTACATCTGGGACCAATCGTTGTCGGGTGATGTCCGACGTGTCAAGAACGAAGGGTCGCAGCAGACTCACGTAGAACTTGTTGTGAATACGCCAGTCATCAGGTAGGCGCAACTGGGCGGTCACCAGCGTCACCATCTTCATGATCTTGAATGGGCCACAGAAGCGTGGTCGTAATTTCGTCGGTAGTGGCAGTCGTAAATTCATGGTGTCCAAAAGGACTAGTTGCCCGGCTACCATTGCAATATCCCGTCGATGCAAATCAGCATACCGTCGGGCAGTAGCGTTCGCCTTGCGAATAAGTTCGACAGCTTTGTCTCGGGCAGTCTGTAATTCTTCGACGAACTGCTGCAATCGTGGTACTTGACTCTCAACGTTGGTGGAGACTGGTACTGTAGGGTCCATCCCGTAATTGAGATAAAACGGGGAGTGATTAGTCGTAGCCGAGGGCGCATTGTTGTAGGAAAATTCCAACATGGGCAGCACGTCCTCCCATTTTTTCCGGTCGGGGCAGTTTGTCCGAATCAGCTGCTCTATTGTTTGATTTGTCCTTTCAGTCTGGCCGTCCGTTAGGGGATGATACGCCGATGAAAACTGCAGGCGCGTGCCGTACCGAGCCCACGTGTCCTGCCAGAATTTCGACGTGAACTTCGGATCTCGATCGCCAATGATTGCTGCTGGTATCCCGTATAGGCGAACGACGGTCGAGATGAACAGGCGCGCGGTTTCTTTGGCTATGATGGTTGTGCGACATGGTGCGAAATGCGCCATTTTCGTCAATCGGTCGACGACAACCAAAACTGCGTCGTTTCCGCTGGGTCCGGCCGGTAGTCCCGTAACGAAATCCATGGTTACGTGTTGCCATGGGCGTTGAGGTGGCTCGAGGGGCTGCAACGGTCCTGTAGGTCGCTGGTGTGATGACTTCATTCGCTGGCAGATTGGACACGCGGCCACGTAACGCTGCACGTCCGTCACCATATCTGGCCAGTAATAAAACCGCTGCAACGCCTTCAGAGTTTTATCAACCCCGAAATGTCCCGATAAATTCGAATCGTGGACTTCTTGAATTAGTAATTCGCGAAGTAGACGATAACTTGGGACCTAAATGTCAAACATGTGTATTTGTCATGTTTGTATAGACTGTATAGGGTAGCCTCTTAGAGGGTACAACACTTAGGTATATCTGTGTGTACCCTCTCTCTAATATCATTAACTTCTTCAATTTATGATATGGTATCACGCGTAGGTAGGATCCCCCCCCCCTCCACCTACCGCTTCCGCTCGCCCCCCTAGCCCCGTCGCGACCCCCCCTAGCCCCGTCGCGCCCCTTCCTGGGACCCGTCGCGCCCCTCCCTGGGCCCCGTCACACCCCTTCCTGGGCCCCGTCGCGCCCCTCCCAGGCCCTGTCGCGCCCCTCCTGGGCCCCGTAGCGCCCCTCCTGGGCCCCGTCGCGCTCCTCCTAGGCCCCGTAACGCCCCTCCTGGGCCTCGTCGCGCCCCTCCTGGGCTCCGTAGCGCCCCTCCTGGGCCCCGTCGCGCCCCTCCCAGGCCCCGTCGCGCCCCTCCTGGGCCCCGTAGCGCCCCTCCTGGGCCCCGTAGCGCCCCTCCTGGGCCCCGTCGCGCCCTTTCTGGGCCCTGTAGCGCCCCTCCTGGGCCCCGTCACGCCCCTCCCAGGCCCCGTAGCGCCCCTCCTGGGTCCCGTCGCGCCCCTCCCAGGCCCCGTAGCGCCCCTCCTGGGTCCCGTCGCGCCCCTCCTGGGCCCCGTAGCGCCCCTCCTGGGCCCCGTCGCGCCCCTCCCAGGCCCCGTAGCGCCCCTCCTGGGCCCCGTCGCGCCCTTCCTGGGCCCTGTAGCGCCCCTCCTGGGCCCCGTCGCGCCCCTCCCAGGCCTCGTCGCGCCCCTCCTGGGCTCCGTAGCGCCCCTCCTGGGCCCCGTCGCGCCCCTCCTGGGACCCGTAGCGCCCCTCCTGGGCCCCGTCGCGCCCCTCCTGGGCCCCTGCAGCGCCCCTCCTGGGCCCCCCGTCGCACTCGCCTGGCCCCGTCGCACCAGCCCGGCCCCGTCCTGCTCGCCCGGCCCCGTCGCACCCGCCCGGCCCCGTCGCACCCTGCCCGGCCCCGTCGCAGCCGCCCGGCCCCGTCGCACCAGCCCGGCCCCGTCGCGCCCGCCCGGCCCTGTCGCACCGGCCCGGCCCTGTCGCCCCCGCCCGGCCCCGTCGCGCTCGGCCGGCCCCGTCGCCCCGGCCCGGCCCTGTCGCACCAGCCCGGCCCCGTCGCGCCCGCCCGGCCTCGTCGCGCCCGCCCGGCCCCGTCGTCCTCGCCCGGCCCGGTCGCACCTGCCTGGCCCCGCTGCCCCGGCCCCGTCCTCCTCATTGGTACGGTTCCCCCCCACCCCGCCCTGCACTGCCCTGCATCGTACCGCCACACACCACACTGTACTGCCTTACACCGCACTGCACCGCGCTGCACCGCACTGCACCGCACTGCACCGCACTGTACCGCACTGCACTGCACTGCACCGCCCTGCACCGCACTGGACTGTTCCTGATGGCGGCGGAGCTTCGCTTCGACGCTGAAGGTCAGCCCCTAGAGTTCGAGGCGTGGCTTGCCGACCTCCGCCGCCAACTCACTGGCCAGCGGCAGGATGGTGAACCGCTTTCCGCACACCTTGACGGTACGCTTCCCTGCCCAGACCCCCCTGCTATTCTGCCCGCTGACCCCACACCCACTGAGCGTGAGTCTACTGCTGACACTGCCCGTGCGCGCTCTGTCTGGCTTTCTCGCGATGCTGTTGCCCAGCTTGCCATTAGCAACGCCCTCCCCCCGTCCGAGCGTCCTCGCTTTAGGTCCCTCACTACTGCTCAGGCATACTTAGATGCTGTCATCAAGCGCTATTCCACCCCTCCGGCTGCCTCGGTGGGTCGCCTGATCCTCCCGATGCTCTTTCCTGACCTTGCTTCTTTCCCCACTGTCTCTGACCTCGCTGCCCACCTGCGCTCGATAGAGGAGACCTGGCGCGCCGCTTGCACTGACGCACAGCTTAGAGCCCACCAGCCGCCCATTACCTCTACCCTCTACCTGCTTGCCACCCGCCTCCCTGACCGCCTTGCTGTCGCCCGCGACCGCTTCCTTAGCCTTCACCCCGCCGACCTCACCCTCACTGACTTTGTAGACACCCTGACTGTGATAGAGACCCGTCACCGCTCCATCGCCCAGGCGAGCGGTGTCGTGCCTGTCCCTATCTTTCAGGGTTGTGCCCCCGCCCAGTGTACCTTCTCCGACGGCTCTGTCGCAGTGGCTGAGACTGCTGCTGCAGCGCAGTTTCGTTCGGGGAAGGGCCGCCGCCCCAAGGTTGGGCGCGGCGGAGGCGGAGGCGGGGGTGCGGGAGGGGGTAGTGGTGGGGTCGGGTCGTCTGGTGCTGGAGCGGACGAGGGGACCCTGCCCAAACCAGCTGAGCCGCCGCCCCTGCAGTTGCAGCAGCCGCAGCAGTCGCTGCAGTCGCAGCCGTCGCAGACGCGGCAGACGAGTGTCCTCCCGCCCGGGTGGCCCGGCGCTGGCGGTGGCCGGGCGCGTGGTGGTGTGTCGAGTGGTAGCTCTGGCGGCGGGCGCTGTCAGTACCAGATCCAGACCGGTCCTCGCCGCGGCTTCATTTGCGGTAAGATCGGTCACTCCACTCCCCGCTGTTTTCGTCGCCTGGACGACCTCTTTCGTCAGCGCTTTGGCCCGTCGCCAGACCTCCCGGACTGGCACGGTTTGCTTAGTCGTAAGATTCAGATCTTTGATATGGACATGGATGCCATTGTTTCTGCTCCGCATGTGATGTATGCTCATGACTCTAGTGTGCTTCCCGCTTATTACTCACTGTTGCCTAGTGTAGGTGTGCCTAGTGTACCCTCCCC